GCTTAATGCTTTACATGTGTCATCTCCTTGAAACCCCGGGAGGTAGTAGCTATTATGATTGTTCCCGTTTTATAGATAGGGAAACTGAGGCTCAGAAAGGTTAAATGAGTTGCCAACAGTTACTCCCACTAAATGTGGTAGAACTCAGGTGTGGGGGGACATGTGCCTCTGATTCCAGAATCAAGATGTTATAGACCACACTGAAAATCACATACATCGAATGAAAGGAAGCCACTGCTGTTTGCTCTCAGTGGTTTCTCTGCCTCTGCCATTCTTGTTATCAACAGGAACTGAGCTGAGTAGCTTTATGGGCTCCCTGCCCTTTTCCTGTCTTCTGCCCTGGCAGTGGCAATCCAGATCACTTGTCGTCCTGGAGGAGTGGCGATTGGCAGGGGCCCTCATGGTAGGACAGCCGTAAGTGGTCCTCAATGTGTCTGTTGGTGTACTCTGACCTGGCACATCTTGCTTTTTAGATAACATAAGCATCATGTTTGGGGCTTGCACAACTCACCCATTTGGCTTTAAACAACGACCTTACATTTGATTGATGTCTTCCTGGTCACCTTGACTTAAACAAGGAAGCCTTTTTAAATGCTTAATGAAGTAAAATAATTCTCTCCCCTGGCTGGGAAAAAAAAAAAAATCCTTCCTTACCCTCTCCACTCCAGCTCTCCTGCTGGACACTCTAACAGTTTCTTTTCCTTTCTCCCCATCATCATCAAATGCCCCCCTACCCCACTTCTCCTTTTCTGTTGTCCTGCCACATCTGACTGTCATTGCAGGTTCCATTCCATCCCACCTCCTCCAGGAGACTCCGTGGACAGTCCCCATCGCTATCTAACTCTGTCTAACCACCACTAACACATCCCTGGAAATCTAGTCCTTGACAGATCCTCCGATTATTTCCCATGGAGATACACAGATAGCCCTGTTTCTCATGGCTTTCCTTCTCTTCCCTTCACCTTAGCTTATCTGATTGTGTTTCAGCTTATCTCTACTCTTCTTAAAGTGTGAGGTGTGGAAATGAATGAAATAATTGAGGAAGCCTCCCCCCACCCTTCGTCCTGGGGAAGATAGAACTGATGGCATTCATCCCTCAGTATCAGCACAGAATTAGTTCCAGGACCTCCCAGGGTCCCTTAGATAAAAGGCAGACTGGGGCATCTGGCATCCTCCCTTATACCTTAAACCATCTCTAAATTACTTATCATACCTACTTCCACGTGAATGCTGTATAAAAAGTTATTGTACTGTCTTGCTTAGGGAGTAACGACGAGGGGGAAAAGTCTGTATGTGTTTAGTACAGATACAATTATTTTTTCTGAATATTTTCAATCTGCAGTTGATTTTAAGCCTCAGATGCAGGATCTGTGGATATGGAGAGCCAACTTCACAGATTCCTTTATTCCAGTTACTCTACCGCAAGACTTTGGCACATCATTCTAGTGCCTCAATCTGTGGTCACCAACAGACAGATGTCAGAGTGGAAGGGTGTCAGTGACCACATGATTGTTAGCAACTTATTTAACCATGTGGATATACTGGGGGCAACCACAGGGCTTCCACAATTCTTTCAACTCTCTCCTGACACAGTGAAAATAAAATTCATCCTGATCTCCCTTCCCAGAATCTCCTGACTTCCTCACCATCAAATGTTACATTCAGTCCTTCAAATATCAAAAATTCCTGTACTACAAGATTTTGTGGAACTATAGGGGTGTCCTCAGTACATGATGTGTGCAGATGTTGGTCATTCTCTATGTGACTCCTGCCCTCCCTGACCCTCAACCAACAGAGTAGGTTGACAGTGTTCCCTAAACAACAGATGGCCCTACCTGATGGCTGGCACGGAGGGTAATTGATTTTGCCACCCCCTCTGCAGGGTGTCTCTGAGAGTCCAAAGGCTGGAACTTCAGTCTTAGTTCAGTCTCTTAATAGCTGAGTGGAATGAGCCATGCAATGACTTTATCTGAAAAACAGAGATGAGAAAATGTGCCCCTGCTCTGACTTCTTGAACCATTAGGAGGGCCTTACTGAGACCACCTGCTTTTCTTTCCTTTTTCTTTTTATTTCCCCTGTTACTGGGGGTTGAATCCAGGGCCACTCTACCACTGAGCTACATCCTCAGACCTTCTGATTTTTTTTTTTTTTTTTGAGACAAGATCCCGTTAAGTTGCTGAGAGTCTTGCAAAGTTGCTGAGGCTGGCCTCCACTTGCCATCTTCCCGCCTCAACCTCACAAGTCCCTGGAATTACAAGTGTACACCACCACACCCAGCAAGACCTGCTATCTTTCCCACTTGCTTTCTCTCCACCTGAAAGTGAGGTCATCAGAAGAGAAGAAGAGGAACCATTCTCTTTCTTTCCCTTTCTTTGAACACTCCTACCCACTTATTAGAATATGGGACAACTTTGCAATTTGGTTTATTCCCCCTAATTTGTATGCACTCTGCATGGAGTTGGGTGGGAGTCTTTGTCACATGAAGCATCAACCACACAGAGAAACCCCATTCCATTTAGAGTACAGGAAGTAGGAGGGAGATATAAGAAAATGCAGATCTCAGAGAAAGGCTCCTTTGTGCAGAGAAGACTGGCTTTCCTCAGGGGCTAACAAGGTCATGTGCAGGATTCTGTGACTGTGAATAGTGTTGGCTCAGGGTATATAAGTATATCTCCATGAAAGTCCCTAATTTCTGGGTTGGGAAACACTTAACACCTCCCCACTGACTCCCCTGCCTATTTGGTCCTCAATAATAAGTGTGATCCTTTTTAACAGGGACAAAACCTTTACTTCCACAAATAAATTGGGCCTTAAATTCTAATGAAAGCATAATTTGCCAAGAAATGTATGGATTGAGCTGACAGTGGACAGATACTCCTGGAAGAACTGGAATGACCTTCCTTAGGAGATCTCAGGCAAAACATCTCCTTGAGAAAGGAAAAATAACATGTAGAGTCATTCATATTGCATGAAAAGGACATACAGAAGGTATTGGCAAAGTCTAAATTTTGCTAAGAGGAAGATGTAGAGGACCAGAGGAGTAAAGGGGAAGAAAGGATCTCCCTGATTTCAAAGAAAAAGTGGCATTTGTTGAATACCCAGTGAAACCTCCCTGCTAGAATATAAACAGGTTCCTGACCCAATTAGGGAAAAATGTGAACATTGATTTCAGATCTTAGGTAAAGAGAAGTTTCCTACTATTTCTCTGGACTCTTGTTATTTCAATCTTTTCTAGTTAAATAAAGTGCAAGCATACGTTTAAAAGTTTCCATCAATACAATGGAATACTGTGTGGCTATTTCTTAAAAGTATGAGGAAGATCTCTATGTTCTCACATAGAAAGATCTCCAAGAAACACTGTAGAGTGTGGAAGGGGGAGGAAGTTTCAGAACATCTTTTTTTGTTTGACCCCAGCTTTCCATACATGCCAGGCAAGCACTCTGCCACTGGGCTACCTCCCCAGTCCAGAAATAGAATATTTTACCCAGTCCCGCCTGCATGAAATATTTTTTAAATGTGTGGGTATACACCTTGTCGTATGCATCGAGTTAAATCGAGAAGAGAGAACTAATTATGAACAGAAGGCAGATGGCACCCATTAGGCATTTTCGTCTGAGTTAAGTTTTATGATGGACATTATTGCTTTGATAACGGTAGCACAGCAATGACGACTCTTTAAAAACAACTCATGGAGCAGAAACACTGGTGTGCAAGCCCCCTCAGGTTAGTATGCTACCCATGGGGACAGTGAGTGGAGTTTCCACTTGCCCTGTCCTTGCCTGGCCTCTTTCCTGATTTGACACTGGATGTCCACACCAGGGTCCATGACAGATGCCAGTGGTGGCAGCGATGACAAGCCCAAAGCCACATTTGTTCCATTACTTCCAGCTTCTCGTTGCCTTTCCAATCACTGCAGTGAGAGCTCCCTTCTCTTATCTCCCCCGAGCAAGAGTCAAAAGTTCTTGTGAGTGTGATTATAGGAGGCTGGAAAACTTCCTGATAATACCTAAATTCCTTTCGAAGAGCAGTGCTTGGAATCGGGTCAGGAGAGCTATGTGGCTTCAGCACACTGTGTACTGTGCAGTTGGATAATAAACCAGAGGAAAGTTGGCCATGCCAAATGGAAGGGACATTAGAAGGATGTCATTATGGGCCCATCTGGTCTGATAACCTACCTCCCACGACAACTTATCTGCTGCCCTAGAAAGACCATGCGGGGAACTGAGGAAGAGTGTCTGCATATGGGATCGCCAAAATAGATACAAAGAAATGAGGCATGAAAGGAAAATTTGAATAATAAAGAAAAATAAGAATCAGAACTGAAGTTTCTGAGACATATTTATGGCTCTTATAAACAATTTTGCTTTGGTCGAATGGCTCTTTGGGACACTCCAGTGACATTAGCTAGTTCTGACATTTGGGAATTTAAACTTAGTAGTGAGCCTAGCTTATCCTTATTAGCAAAGTTTGCTAAACATTTTGTGCTGCGTGCCCTGTTTTTGTATTTGAAGATGATGCACACGGCATGCTGTCATCTCAATTCCTGCTGTCACTGTGAAACCTATGACAGGTCATTCTCCTACCACCTTCCCTTTTGGTCTTGATGCATACACTCTTCCCCTTTGCTTCCCTGTATCTTCCCTGATTCAGCTCCAAAAAGATGTTAGCCATCTCGGTGGTTGGACGGAGATTTTTCTATTTCCCATAGGAAATGTGAAGAAATGCATAAAATTGGAAATAAAATTTAACAACGGATGATAAGCCTTTAATCCATCACTCGTTCTTGCCTGCCAAACAGATCACTTTTATGAACACAAGTCCTCACTTAGGAAACCTAATAATCTAAAAATACATCTTCACTCTTGCCAGAACTTTAAATAAATCCAGGGAGAGGTGTGTGTGTGTGTGCTTCTTGTAGGGATGACACATAGAAGCATTTCCACAACAGCCCTCCGATGCTCCTAAGCCTCTGACTCAGATCTTGGGTTTCCCTCCCTCAGGAAACCAGGTGAGTTTCTCCAAATCAGCAGACGCCTTTGCCTTTGAAGAGGACAGCAGCGGCGATGGGCTCTCTCCAGATCAGACTCGAAGCGAAGACCCCCAGAGCTCAGCAGGATCCCCACCAGATGCTAAAGCTACGGAAGCCCCTTTGGCTGGCCCTCTGGGAACAATTCAGGTAAAAATAAAAATGATCTCCATTTCATCATGTCTTCATAGTCTTAAAATCCACTGTGCTTGCTTCTGATTTTGCTTAGAGACTCTGGAGCTCTTCCTCGATCATGTGACACGTTGCTGTCTTCTCACTCTCTTCAGCCCAGGTAGCTGTGTGTCGTGACAAAAGGTCCCCCCCAAAAAAAACACTGGAGAGACTCTCTAGAACTATACCCTCTGGAAGACTTCTGAGCATCATCTACTTTGTTGAGTAGATAGATACCTTTTATCTCCATTTTTATGGACATCATAACTGAGGCTTCAGTGAGGTTAAGTGATTGGCAGACACTCTCCTGGTGCCAGAACAAGACTGATTTCAAAGTTTGCAGTCTTCTCTTACAGTCATTATAGGGCTAATGAGAAGGGTGAGAAGAAAGTGCCAACTGTTCACAAAACAGGGAGGTCCCTGCTGCTTCTATGTGAACAGGTATCTAACCACCAGCCACCTCAAAGTCAGTCTTCAGTCCCGACCCAAGCACAGTCCTCACATCTCTCTCTGGATACATCTACAGATCCTCAGAGTAAAGGATGTATTTTGAAAACACTCATTATAAATGTTCATCATTCAAACAGTGAGACGGGAGGGTATAGCGGCCAAAGGGTACCAAGTCACAAATATGTAAGATGAACAACTTCAGAAGTCTAATGTATATCATGAGGATTACAATTTATAAAATTGTAAAGAAAAAAAAATAATTCCTTATTCATTATCAATGTGAAAGCACATTTCTCATGATGAGTATAGATAGCAGCCTGAAGCATACTCTGGGCCAGAAACAGCGCTGTGCTCTATACAAAAGTTATCTCATTTGAGATCCCAGTTCCCTCCCACTGGGTGACATCTATGCCAATTCTCACAGAGGAGGAGCTAAGTCTCCCTGAGATTGAGAAATCACGTGGTCTCCAGAATCACCGCCAAGTGCCACCACCCCTTGGAGAATCCACCTCTAGAAGCCACATGCAGGCTTGCAGAGAGTTTTCCTCAGCCCAGCAGGAAGGTATTCATGGAGCTCCTAAAAGGAGACCTGTGGGGATTCCACACATCCTCATGAAGGAGAAATACTAGTGTGGACACAAGGTGCAGAAGTGCTTCCGGCCCCACATGCCAACTCTAACAATTCTGTTTATAAAGTTTCATGGTATGGAATTTTCCACTTATAGCATCATCTTGGCTTTTTCAGATTTTGAAATTTTATATTACAACTATTCAACCTGCATTTGAAATATTTTTTCCCACTGCAAAGTACCATATACAGATATCAGTGACAGTAATAATAATCAATATCCAGGGCTCTGTTTACCTAAACCTCCTTGGTCACTGGTGACTATCATTCCATCAGAGCAAACGCAAAGCAGCCAAGAAGCAAATTTAGAGTGAGAGGGGGAAAAGGAGACATAAGAAGCAGATCTGAAATATTTGTGCATTTCTTGTGTAAGAGTTTATAATCAAAGCATTTTTTTCTTCCCCTGCTGGTCTTTGCAGCCAGACTTCTTTGATAACATCAAACGGTATATCAGACCATTTGTATGTATTATTCTGACAGTAAATTCCTCAGCCTCTGATTTAAGAATGGTTTGAGGAGAAGGCGTGTTTTTTTTTTTTTTTCTGCTTAATGCTAGGAGAGGGGAACAAGACCTGGACAATGCCCGGAAAAATGCAAAAATCATTTTATATCATTTTTCTCAGAAGCCATGTTTGACAGATGAGGACACGGAGGCACTGAGAGAAAAGAATTTCATGGGCCTAGGATAGGTACCAGGGCTCAGAGAAGAACTGAGAAGCTCATTTCTGACCCTCCAGTGGGAGATTACCAGCAGCCCCTGCCCCTGTGTGTCAGAGTCACAGCATAGGAATGTGGGAGAGAAAGAGAAGATAATTATTCCTTTTTTGGAATCCTCAGCAGACAGAAATATGCTTCTCGTAAAGGTTTGCATGATCATACACACACACACACAGATAACACACACATCTGCATGTATATACTTAGAGACACACATTCAAATACACACATATACATATATAATATACAGAGACATACATGTATATATACATACATATACCTGATACATCTATACATGCACATACCTGTGTTTATGCACACACATATACACACATAAACATGCCCAGACATGTACTTACACTTACTCATATACACAGACGCATATAAATGAGCATGTGCATATACACACGTATGCTTATATCCACACATACATATATATACAAAAATTCATGTGTGTACATGTATATGCATGTACGTATATACCTGACACACACAAATATAAATGCATACATTCATCCATACACATACATACACACTCAGACACACCTACACATGCTCATAAATGTATGTACATGCACATATACATGTGCAGACATGCATTCATGCTTGCTTACACAAACACAAACCTGTATGTGCTCACACCCCCCGACACACACCCCACACACACACACACACATTTTCCCTCCAACTGCTAACACCCACTCTCTCCACTTTGTTGTTCTACGTTTCCCCCCAAATTCCTACACCTACTCTGCTCTCTTCATTTCTTTTTCAACCTCATTATTAAGTCCGACAGGTAGACATTGTCACAAAAAGGCCAGTCCCATGTCTGTACCTATAGAAAGGCCAGTCCTATACCTGCCTTTTGTGGTCATTATTAAAGATGCCCCTTTTCTCTCTCAAAAGCACCCTCCATCGGGGAACACAACTGGTGTCATCCTCCCGGAGGGAGTAACCTGACGTTTACTTGAATGAGAACCCGGGATGAAAGCAGCAGTGTGAGCTGTCAGGGACTCGACCAGAACCCAACATTTATTCCTATGTCCTAATCATGCTGAAATTTCCATTTCAGGATCTTGCTTCTGGCTCAGAAAATGACAAGAATGATTCCGCCTCACAGTCCAGCAATCAGCCAGATGCTGGGAAGCAGGGTCTGGGCCCCCTCAGTGCCCCCATCCCTGTGCATGCTGCTGTAAAGGTAGGTACCGGGCAGCCCCTACTTCTCTGCCTGAGCCCCAGGTGCCCACAGCCAGCCCTGAGAAGAGCTTTCTAATTCAGGTCTGATGACATAAGGAGAATAAGATGGCCCCATGTGGTCCCGGCCACTAGAAATGTCACAAATGGGGAGCTGAGAAACAGACCACCAGAGCCCATGAACCCAGATGTTATTATCCGTGCAGCACAGCATGGACTTTCTCTGCAGCGGGGGAATCAGTGCGGTGGCATTTCTTGGGGACCATAGCTCTGCTAATATATGTCTGACTTAAAAGATTTCACGAACTCACCCTGGAGATAGACCTGGCTGATTAAAACACATGGGGTTTTGCAAGTTCCCTAAAACAGGCTTAGGGCAGTTGAATTTTGCACGAGACTTTGCATAATGTAAGAGCTATATCATTCAATTCCCTAAGGAAATAAACATAAGAGACAAGGGGTCCCGTTCACAGTAGTCAAATAGCTGTAGTCATTTGATATATTTTTCATATTTAATTTTCTCAGCATTATAGCTAATAGTTCACAGAGTGCTCTCTCCTTAGCTGCCTGGTAGTCATTGGTTTTCTTTTTTTTTTTTCTTTTTTATTTTGTTTAATGGTGCTCACGCCTCTGCACGTTAGGCAAGCACTCTATCACTGAGTTACAACCAGTTAGTCCCTTCATAATATTTTATACCCAATAACTTTTACTTGATTTGGGAGCATGTTTTCTCAGTCCTAGTGCCACCGCCTAATGAATGCTGAAATGACTCTTTGGGGATTGAGAAGAAAAAGTGTGGGAGGTTATAAATTGAGGCACAAGTCAATGATAAAGTAACAGATTAATGCTCTCACAGGATGGTAGGCATTTTAATTTCCTAGAAAAGCTCCCCCACCAAACCACAATAGCATAAACCCAGTTTACAAGTCACTCAGCTCAACAGCCTTGACATTATGTGAAAACTGATGAATTCTATGCCTTGCAGAGGAAGGAGAGAGAGATGATTCACATGATTTCTAATGCTATAGATAAAGAGACATAGTATTAATGTCTCCATCAGCATATTTAAATTTTGCATAATTCAAATTAGCAAAGACATCAACCTCACTGTACCAAGAAATTATGATAGGATCCCAAAAGAAAGACAGATCTTTCAGTGAAGTATGGTATTAATTCTAATACCCAGCTGGTTCAGGAGGGAAAGTTACTTATATATGAGTCACCATCCCTTCCAGTTGATCAATGCCTATGCATCCCAGTTATTAAAGATTTATCCCTGTTAGGTTAAGATTGGAAAAACAGGTGTTCAAACAAAAACTTGTACATGAATATTAATATTAGGCACCATTTACAACAGTAACAAGTTGGAACCAACCCAAATTTCCATCAGTTGATGAATGAATACACAAAATATGGTCTATCCATAAGACTGTCTATTACACACCCTTGAAAAGGAAAAATATAATGATACCTGCTGCAAAATGAATGATCCTTGGAAAAATATTATGCCAGTACAGGAAGAAGCCATTTATATGATTCCACTTACATTAAATACTCAGAATAATCAGATCTCTCAAGATCTAAGTACATTCATGGTTGTTGGGGAATAAGGGAAGAAGGAATGAGGAATGACTGTTTTATGGGTAATGAAACTAGATAGATGTGATGGTTGCATAATATTCTGAATGTACTAAAGTGGTTATGATGGTGGTGTGTTTATTTCTTTTATATTGAAAATAAAAAAAGGTTCTCCTTCCCCAAGCAGCCACAGGTAGCTCCCTCAAGGCCAGTGGTCTAGAAAGGAGACTGGGGGTTGGATTTCAGTCTGCCTCACCCCCTTGGCAGGAAATACCCTGATGTGACCATCCTCACGCAACCTCGAAATGCCACATGAGGAGTACAGACAGGGCACCTCACTGCAAGTTAGGAAAAGCTTCCTAAGTGATCCAGGGCTTGAGCCAGCCTGAAAGGATGAGCTAGAGTGTCAGATGGCAAGGCTGTTTCAGATGGCAGAAAATTGCAAGAAAAGGAAGCCTGTCAGGTGTTAGAGAGGAGAGACTTAGGCAGCTTGGTGAAATTTCCCTTGGCAGATTACTGAGTTTGGGCTTCACCTTGCAGAGCAAGATCAGCACATTGCGGGCTTCTGGGGTGGTATGTTATTTGGCAAAGCCCAGGTGTGTGTGTGTGTGTGTGTGTGTGTGTGTGTGTGTGTGTTTGAATCGGTACGGTTTTAGAACGTCATGCACTTTCTAGCCAAAGCCACACCGCTACCTCTCATGTATACACTAATCCAGTTCACACATCTATGCCTGGGTCTTTAAGCACTGAAGTGGATCCACTTCTGATCCATTTTTAGAAAGATTAATGTGTTCTCCTTCTGTGTAGCTGTAAAGAGAAAAACAAACAGATACAACTTTAATATCCCCAAAGCTCAAAAAAGGAGAATGAAACTATGCATTTCCATAAGTTCAGTCATCTTTGCCCCCACGCTATTCAGAAAAAAAAATGATCATTTCAAAATCTTCTGGAATGTTCACAGTCCCCGTGCTTAGACAACGCAGAGGAAGAAAAAAATCAAAAAAACAAAAACAAACTAAAAAAATCCTCCTTGACCCCCTAACTTAGCTTCAAGACCCAGGGCTGCTACTCCCATCCTCCCCAAGGCAAGCTCTGGGAGATGATGGGACCGGCAGCTGATTTGGAGCAAGACAGGGCAGAACTGATTGCAGGAACCCCTGTAGAAACTCTCCAGCACAGCAGACTGATTAATTCATTGGAACACTAATAGATTAATGAGCATGAAGAAATAAGCCACCATGCACACAAAAATACTTGCGCTTGTTATTCATTAGTCTCGGGGAAGAACACTCTTTGAGAAAACAAAAGAGCCTTTGGTGGTAGGATGAGCTGAGTCAGAGAAAAGCAAATTGTAGGCCCCTTGGCTAAGGTCACATTCAGATGTGTATTTTGTGGTTGAAATAGGGAGGCTGCCAAGTCCAAATATACCTGCCAGCTATTCAGGAGCCCCCTCTTCTGGACACTGATGGTACCACACTTTCCCTCTGGTTTTTCTCCACATCTTTAAAAATCTTTGGTCATGATATATCCATGTTCTCCATTTCAACCTCCTATAGTAAAGTCAGGAAGTGAAAATTTATTTTTAACTGATAACAATATGAATCTACTGCTTCCTAATATATGAGGCCTTTTGATTTTAGAAGCCGACTATGAATAGAATTACCCTGTTCATTGAGCATCTCTTATCACTTCAACATTATTGGTTATAGTCTTTATATTGATCACTGAGATAGAAGATAGGAGAATACTTTCCCCAACTTGCAGGTAATGGAACTGAGATGTAGTCAACTTAAGTATTGGTGCCATGTTCAAAAATTTCACTGCCAAGGCTGTACCCTAATCTTCCTTTACTGTGTCCAAGTCATGCTCTACAATGGGTCACTTCTGGGAAGGGTTCCAGTGGGTGGCTCACCCTTCCCATAATAAATAAAGAGTCATTATTTCAGAGGTGCCATTTCCTGATCATATATCAGCATTTGAGCAGGGTGAGGGTGGAGCGTAAACGGGCAGTTCTGTTTTACTCTGGGCTCAGAGCAGCAGAGAACCACATACTGGATTTACAAAAGCCACCTTAACTTCCTCTAAGTTTATGTCATTAATAAGTCAATTTATTACCTGCTTGATGAAAGGCAATTGTGTGCATACAGATGAAAGAACTGCTTTAGAAGTAAGCCCAGCATTGGAATGTCAGGTTATCCGTTGATTTTAGGACAGGAAGAATGTACTCGTTGAAACCCAGCCTGACCTCCTACCCTACTCCACGGAGGAAAAAACTCCTGAAGCCACTTTTAAGGTTTAAGGTTCCCAGTCTTAAGGAGTGATACTTCAGGAGGTTGTATTTGCAGCAGATTGGTTCCTCCAAATCATTGATGTTGTAGGAATTCTTTGTGCATCGTGCATGTGCTATGTTGTATTTTCCAGGATTTGATAATATCCATTAGGTTAAAACCCCCTCACAACCAAGTCGTTCTTTTTCGTCACCTAAAGCACATGCCATTTCCTCATACCCTTTGCAGTCCAAGTCCTTGGGTGACAGTAAGAATCGCCACAAAAAGCCCAAGGACCCCAAGCCCAAGGTGAAGAAGCTTAAATATCACCAGTACATTCCCCCTGACCAGAAGGCAGAGAAGTCCCCACCGCCCATGGACTCAGCCTATGCTCGGCTGCTCCAGCAACAACAGCTGTTCCTGCAGCTCCAGATTCTCAGCCAGCAGCAGCAGCAACAGCAACAACAACAACAACACCGATTCAACTACCCTGGGATGCACCAAGCACAACTCAAGTAAGTCAGGCAAGCTGGGAATGGAGGCTGGGGACAGAGGTAGGGAATGGCTTCTCTCTGTCTGAGGCACATGGGGCCAGCCCAAATGTCCTTGTCTGGTATGTTTAAATATTCATCCAGATATATATGTTTTTTTCTAATAAGAATCTATTTTTTCTGATACATTTGAAATATGACTGTATTTAGACACCATGCACAACTTTCAGGATCCTATGGCTGGGATAAAACAAGCAAATCAATGTTCATTGGAGAAAAAGGAAGCTATGGGCATTTCCAAAGTGAATTGTGAAACAGCTAAGAATGTAGAGTTGGCATCGCTCACAATTCCAATGCCCTTCTACTTTCACTCTGGGAAGCAACAGAGATGAATTGCTCAGTGAGAGTCTCAAAGATTGACTCCTGAGCCCACGGGCTTTGTGATCACATGACTAGGTCACTTATGAAGTTGGAATGTGTGTTCTCTCACCTGTTTCTGGTCACTCTCAGGTCACACTGGCAATTCTACGAAATGCTGCATGCTCAGGACTCCCCAGAAGAGTGCATCAACTATGTCATGGATGGACATGCACTCTTCCATATGCTGAAGTCTCCACCCCTCCCTCCTGTCTCCCCAAAATCAAGCTTGAGGGTCTTTTGCCCACTTGCCATCTAGCCTGTGCTGTTTCTCTTCGGCTGGTTTATTACATGCCTGATCTGCTCGACCTATTACTGTGTGATTCAAATACACGTTACCCATATATATATTTGATTGTATTTTAAGTGCCTCTTTGTTTCTTTTTTAGAGAACCCAACGAACAAATGGTCCGAAATCCAAACTCCTCTTCAGCACCACTGAGCAATACCCCTCTGTCGCCCGTCAAAAACAGTTTTTCTGGACAAACTGGTGTCTCTTCTTTCAAGCCAGGCCCACTCCCACCTAACCTGGACGATCTAAAGGTATAGGATTGGACATGATTTCCTTCTATTTCTCCCTTCCTTACTTCCTTTATTTTCCCCCCTCTTCCTTTCTTTCCATTTATTTAACAAACACAGCAATATATCATTCATATCATCTTTGCCAATGGATTTCTGGGGTAAGAGAACATAAAGTGGAGAGTACATGGAAGAGGCTCTAGGGAATGACAGGATGTCCACCCGGGTGGTCAGACACCCCCACAAAGCACAGAGCTCTAGGCCCCCAGCTCAGCTGTCCAGGCTGCACAACCTGAGCTGGTCTTCACATGTTTCAGCATCTTAGATTCCTCATTTGCATAAATGAGTTATTATAAATGGGCTCATATATATGATAGAGTTTAGCCCAGTGTCATTGTGGGATTTATATGAAGCATATTCAGAATGCTCTAAACTGTGGCCAATTCCATGACGAACTTTAAAAAAAAAAAATCTCTGATGAAATGAGAAAAATAAGAACCAAGTAAACATCTGGGTACCTACTACATATCTGAGTAATATTCATCCAAAGTATATATTTTCTCATAATATTTTGAAATTGGAAAACAATGCTACTAGTGGACAGAAGTTGAGGGTTGTGGGTGGGGTTGTACATGTGCTTTTTTATTAAATGAGGATACCATGAAATAAGAACTTTGGTCCTTACTGAGTAAGATGGAATGTTGGTAATCTAATGTCAGTAATATAATTGAAAACAATGTCCTGTTCTATGAAATTCTCAAATCTGGGGACTTCTGCTCTGAAGCCACACCTTGTTAAATAACACATGCATGAGAAATTTACTTCCCATCACAGGCTACATGGATCTGGGCTCATTAAAGGGTCAGTGAACTTCAAGTTGAACCCGGTGCATTTCAAAGCAGTCCTTAGGGTTGGCATATTCATCCATCTGTCCATCATCCATCACAGCAGAACTGAAAAAGATGAATAGATGAATAGTAAATGGGGTTTTGCATTCCCTTTCTTAAAAACTGGAGAGTGAGAGGAACTGAAAGTGAGAACAAGAGGCAAGGGGGTGGGACTGGGAAGTCTTAAAACTGGGGAAATGTTTGATGGACATTAGGAAACAATTGTTCATTATTCAAGATGTGCTAATGCTAGTTGTTGTTTTTTTTAAGACTGCTTATCTTTTCGAGATAGTTACCAAATATTTACAGATGAAATTAAATGATTTGCTTCAAAAATCATCTAGGGCAGGTAGGGAAAGAAATAGATTAGGATATAAGAGAAATAAGACTGGGAAGAAGTTGGTTGATAATTGCTGGTGTTGGTTGGAAAGTACATGAGGTTCATTATCCTTGTCTATCAACTTCTGTGTATGTTTGAATTTTTCCATAATAAATGGTTTAAAAATGATCAATGATTAAAACTCCAGGGAATGTAGCAAACAGGTGGGTGCAGGTCTTCATCCCAAACAAGCCCACAGAGCATAATAATCTGAAACTTAAGGTAAATTGAACTCAGCAAGTGTTCATTTTATTTTAGAATACGAGCTGCATTATTTAATAATGTTGCTTAAATTATTCAGTGCCAGAACAGATTCTAAAAATAAACGTAGAACTCATTAATTTTAAGTAATTCAAAATTAAAACAATAATGTGTTACCATCTTGCATTTTTTTTAAACCAGCAAATCTAAAGGGGAAAAAAGTAGATAAGACATTACCAGCAAGACATGGGGAAATAGAATATTCATTGCTAGCGTAAGTAGATTCCATCTTTTTTGGGTAACTTTTAACTTATTATAAAGCAACATACATTCACAGTGAAATATGATAGTATGTAGAAAAGTAAATACTTTTTTATTAGACAAGACTCTCAGAAAGCACAACAGATTATATTTCCCTCTAGATTTATGATGCCTGTGAACATATTTTGTTTTACAATAACTATTTTTAAATAATTATGTGTACATAAATTTCTGACATGCTTTCTTTTTTTAACACATCATGAACATTTTTCGTAACTTTTAGTAGTCAATAAAAGTTTTATTTTTAATAGCTACATATCATTTCACCACCTTGTTAACATTCCACTATAGGACATTTAACTAACTGCCAAAAGTTTTGTTATTCGAAAAATGATTTCAATGGCCTGTGTACATATATCTATTCATTGCTTTATTTCTCCAGGCTAACTATAGAGAACTGAAATTCTGGAATGAAAAACGTATTAATATTTTTAAAACTTCTTGAGGCATATTACCAAATTTCTGTCCTGAACATTTGTTCCAGTTTATTCCCAGAAGCAACATGTTAAAGCGGCACTACTCAAACATTAATGTATACATGAATCACCCAGGCACTTGATAAAATGCAAATTCTGATTCAGTAGGTCTGGGGAGGGGCTAGAGATTCTGTATTTCTAACTAGATCCCACATATTACTTGCACTGATGATCAGGACCATGTTTTATTTTATTTTATTTTTAATATTTATTTTTTAGTTGTAGTTGGACACAATACCTTTATTTATTTTTATGTGGTGCTGAGGATCAAACCCAGGGCCTCGCTTGTGCTAGGCGAGCGCGCTACAGCTGAGCCACAACCCCAGCCCCAGGACCGTGTTTTAAATAGAAAAATAATAAAGATCTTTTTTTGACATTTTTATTTTCACTACTACCTCACTAACACAAAGGGTTATTACTCATTTCTTTGTCAATTTGATGAATACCAACATAGGTACATATTTATTTTACTTTCATTTTTTACGTTACTAATGATGATACACATATATTATTGGTCATTATCTAAATTTTATTTGTGTTTATGAAGAACTGGGTCATTTATCTTGTCTATTTTTGTACTGGGTATCATCCTTTTTTTAATTTCTTATTGGTAAGCACAGTTAATACATTGGAGTTTTTTAAAGCACTTTATTATTTGTGCTGCAATCATTTTTTTTCCAAGATTGCTATTTGGATCCATATTCATTTTGTTTATGGTTCTTATGACTTATAGAAGTTTTAAATTTTGGTTGTCAATATTCTTATGATTTCTTCCTCTAAATTTATGCCCAAAAGATCTTTCCCTACAAAATCTCAAAAGAATATTTCTCTATATATTATTTTTTGCAAAATTATTGAAACTTACCTACTTAATGCATTTTCTTTTTTAATCACAAAAGCAATATGCTTATGTGGAGTATTTAGAAAATACAGATAAGGAAGCCCATTGTTGACATTTTAGTATATATTTATCTAGATATTTTCACATGCAAAAAGGTTTAAATATATATGCACATTATTTATATATTTTATATATATTTATACTTATATATATTTAAAAATAGAATCAATTCAAACTTTCTTTCACTTAATAATATACCATAAGTAAATATTCATCATCCAAGGGCAACAAACACCTTATAGCATCAACCTTTTTATTGCAGGAGGCACCAGAGATTGAACCCAGAGGTGCTTTACCACTGAGCTATATCCCTAACACTTTTTATTTTTTATTTTGAGACAAGGTCTCACTAAGTTGCTTAGGGACCCCTAAGTTGCTGAAGCTGGACTTCTACTTGTGATCCTCCTGCCTCAGCCTTCTGAGCTCTTGGGATTACAGAAGTGCCCAAGTATAGCCTCAAATCTTAATGGCTTTGTAGTACTCCATCATTTGCATGCACCATCATTTATTCAACCAGTTCCCATATTTGTGTATATTTTATAGTTTCCAATTTATGAACATTATAAAAAATGCAGGGATCAACTAGTTACTTATGAATGAATATAACAATGATAGTAAGCCACCACCATTATGTACCATTATGTACCATTATGCACTAATAAAAAAAAATATGGAAAAGACTGGGCACGGTGGTGCACGCCTGAAATCCCAGGGGCTTGGGAGGCTGAGGCAGGAGGATCTCAAATTCAAAGCCAGCTTCAGCAACTTAGTGAGGCCCTAAGCAACTCAATGAGACCCTATCTCTAAGTAAAATACAAAAGGGGGGGGGGCTTGCAATGTGGCTCTGAGGTTGAGTGCCTTTTAATCCCCAATACACACACACACACACACACACACACGGGAAAAATATTAAGTCCTTACATTGCATAAGCCTTTACTAGGAACTATTCCAAGAGCTTTATAAAATTCAAGCCATTTGCACCTTCACAGAAATATATAAGTCAGGTATTACCATTTCCATGTCATGGATGAAGCACAGAGGATTGCAGAGCTAGCAATAGGTAGGGTAAGTGTTTGGACTGATATTCATATTCTCTCTCTCTCTCTCTCTCTCTCTCTCTCTCTATCCCTCCCACCCTCCCTCAACATATGACTGTCAAACATTCATCATTAAAATTAAGACAAAAATGTTAATGTAGAACTGAGATTCTCAAAGTCTGGTCCAGGGACTTGAAGCATCAATATCCCCTGGGAATTTGTTAAAAATGCAAAATCTTAGTCATCACCCAGATTTATTGAACCAGAACTCCAAGGTGGAGTATGTGTTATCACACATCCTCAGTTGCTCAAGTGCATGCTTAAGTTTGAGGAAGAAGATATGGTGAGAAGAGGCCTGACTCAGAAAGCCCAGAAGTCCTGTAAATTCAACTGTGCTTAGGGATCATCATGTGAGGGCTCTGTCTACACTAGGCAGCTACAGCTTTGCTCATCTATAAAATGGGAACAGGGACCAAAATGGGGGTGGAAGGGCAGCAGATGAGGTGACTTTTACCATTACATTTAAGATCTACATCTCTATGATTCTCAGGCCATGAACACTTGGTTCAGATGGTCCCCAACTTAAAATAGCTCAACTTATGATTCTTTTACTTTATAATGCTGAGTAAAGAGCACATGTTCAGTATGCATTACACTTCAAATTGTGAACTCTTCTCCCTGGCTAGCAATATGATGTCTGATCCTTTCTGAAGATGCTGGGTGACAATAGCGACCATACCTCTGAGTCTCCCCTGAAATAATGCAATGAACTGACCCTCTGTCACTAAGCTGAGATGATCCATAGGTTAGGTGCCTTGAATGCATTTTGACTTCTGATGTTTTCAGTTTACCGTGGAATTATTAGGACATCACCCCCATCATAAACTGAGGAGCACCTGTATATATGATAGAGTCAAAAGGAATCATTCAAATTGTGCAAAACCAATTTATATCAAGGGTGGGAGGGGATATTGAGAAGAAGCAGGGGAAAAAAAGAGGAGTGGACATTATAAAATTCCATGTATGACATTTTAAAACTAATTTAATAATAAAGAGACATTTTAAAAACATTGTCATTAGACAGCACACTAACAGCGTCCTGGTTTCTTTAGGTCTCTGAATTAAGACAACAGCTTCGGATACGGGGCTTGCCGGTGTCAGGCACCAAAACGGCTCTTATGGACCGGCTTCGACCCTTTCAGGACTGTTCCGGCAACTCTGTACCCAACTTCGGCGACATAACGACTGTCACTTTTCCCGTTACACCCAACGCGCTGCCCAATTACCAGTCGTCCCCTTCCACCAGTGCCTTATCCAATGGCTTCTACCGCTTCGGCAGCACCAGCTCCAGCCCCCCAATCTCCCCCGCCTCGTCTGACCTGTCGGTGGCCGGGTCCCTGCCGGACACCTTCACCGACGCCTCTCCGTCCTTTGGTCTGCACCCGTCCCCAGTGCACGTCTGCACGGAGGAAAGTCTCATGAGCAGCCTGAATGGGGGCTCGGGTCCTTCCGAGCTGGACGGGCTGGACTCCGAGAAGGACAAGATGCTGGTGGAGAAGCAGAAGGTGATCAATGAACTGACCTGGAAACTGCAGCAAGAGCAAAGGCAGGTGGAAGAGCTGAGGATGCAGCTTCAGAAGCAGAAAAGCAATAACTGTTCGGAGAAGAAGCCCCTGTCCTTCTTAGCTGCCCCCATCAAGCAGGAAGATGCGGTCTCCAGCTGTCCTTTTGCATCCCAACAAGTGTCTGTGAAAGGACAAAACAGCTCCGAGAGTCAACCCCCCGCTTGCGAAGCGGCTCCACTCCTGCCCCTTGGAAACGCTCACTGTGTGGAGTCCTCAGGTCAAACCAACGTACTTTCTTCCACGTTTCTCAGTCCCCAGTGCTCTCCGCAGCATTCGCCCCTGGGAGCTCTGAAAAGCCCGCAACACATCAGTCTGCCCCCATCGCCCAACAACCATTACTTCCTACCCTCATCTTCCGGGGCGCAGGGAGAAGGGCACAGGGTCTCCTCACCCATCAGCCAGGTGTGCACCACACAGGTAAGAACACCTTGCCGCATACCCAGTGTATACCTCTTTCAGGAAGTTGGAAGGCAAATTTCCAACTACTAAAGAAACAATCCACAAGCCTCCACAGTAGACCAGGTTCACTTACCCTCTAAGACAGGGCTGGCACACTTGTTATATAACCAGCCAGGTGGAGCGAGGCACCCCTGGCTCAAACCTGCAATGCCAGCGAATTGGGAGACTTGAGGCAGGAGGATAACAAGTTGGAGGTGGGTCTCCACAATTTAGCAAAACCTGTCTCAAAATAAAATATTAGAGAAGACTGGGGATACAACTTAGTGGTAAAGTGCTTCTGAAATCAACCCCTTGTACCTAATTAATTAATTAAAAGAATGTACTAGATGGTAAATATTTGGGGCTTTGTATGTCACAACTACTCAGTTTTGCCCTTTCATCACATAAGCAGCCATAGATATCTTGTAAATGAATGCATACGGCTCCAATAAAATTTTATTTGCAAAACCAGGCAGTAAGCACAATTTAATTGATAGCTATAGTTTGCTGACCACTGCTCTCAGGACTGCTTGGAATCACTCTTATGATAGCCCAGATCATTTCATCAAGCAAGTTGAAGAGGAAGTTACCAGACCCTATTCTTCTTTCCATGTTATAGTCTATATAGTAGAACTATTTACCCAGCACCTAAGATGTGCCATCCTCTATTCTAGCCACTGGAGGTTAATGCTGAACTGGCCAAATAATCTCTAGTCTCATGGGAAGAAGACAATAAGCAAAATTTTTTTTAAAGTAAATTATATAATATCAGAAGATGATACATCTGATAGAGAAAGAGCAGAGAGAGTGTTGTGTTTGTCTGAGAAGTTGGAAACTTTGTAACCTTGAATCAAAGGGCCAGAGACATCTGAGGAAAACCTTGAAAGAGTTAAAGGAGGAAAATATCATGAATATTTTGGGTGATGTCACTGAAGGTAAAAGAGGAATAGAAAGAACATGTGTCCTGAGATAGGAATATGTGTGGAATGTTCAGAAATTAGGAGTTAGAAGAGTTGTAGACTTCAAGGAGTAATTCAAAGACTAGACCGACATGATCAGCAAAGACTTTCATTTTTGTCCACGAAACTGAAGAATGATTGAGAAAGTTTGTATGAGTTTGAGAAAGCAAATTATATTATGAAAATGTTCTGGAATTAGGAAAGGAAGAAACCACTAATGTGATATGTGCCAAGTGCTAAGTATTAAGAGGCATGCATGTAAGTAATTCTTTAGTCATCATTGAGGAAAAGGAAGCTCAGGGGGATTAGACCTATTTCCCAGCATCACATGAATCAGGATTAGTTGATTCTAAAGTTCATGTCCTTTTCACACTTAAATATTGCAATATTGCTACCTTGGTAATATGAGGTGTGGCTAAAGATAATGGCAATACATCGGTACAAGTTTACCAAAACAACACATTCAAATGAGTGATACTCATTCCTGAGGAGTGCTCTGGGGGCTATTGGGTCTACAATGGATTATCATCACTGTTAATAAATATTTATGGAATGCATAATGTCCTAGGCAACAATGGTAAAAAAAAAAATAGCTCTGGAGACATAGCTCTGGGCCATAGTTTTCAATTTGGATGATGTTGGTGCTATGAATAAGAACTAATATTTGTACAGTGATTTATGGTTTACAAAGACTCTTTGAAGATGTTAACAATTTCCTGATAAAAGGGTAACAATATTGATGACTGTGAATATAACATTAAATCCTGCACAAAGTTGGTGGGGGGAGGGGTGGTGAAGATTGGTCATAAAAGATTAGAAAGGTCTAGGAAGTTTTTATTAATGGGTCAGACTTGACCGGAAATGTAGCATTAAAATAGCGAGGGAAGGAAGAAAAGGACATAAAGGAATAAAGATAGTGAGGTCGACTGTACTGATGTGTTGTTCCTGTTCTATGTAAGAATTTAAGCTTTCAGAGAAGTAAATAGCACCAGAAGCAAATTGCAAATTGAACACTTATCCACATTAGAGGTGGAGATCCTATGCTGGAATTTGTGAGAGGCACTGAAAATTCATGAGCAATATGTGAAAAGTGCAAAGGTAGAATCTAGGCACAAGTTCGTGTGCTAATGGGATTTAGTAATTCCTGTAAAGAGAATTCTCCAAGGAGTACTGAGCAGGGAGCAGAAGTGTCAGCAAAAGCAATAGGAGAGCACACCTCTGACCTTGAGCTGGTACGTCTTCCTTTCTACAGAACTCAGGGGCACACGATGGCCATCCTCCAAGCTTCTCTCCCCAGCCTTCCAGCCTCCACCCACCTTTCTCTGGAGCCCAAACAGATAGCAGTCATGGTGCTGGGAGCAACCCTTGCCCCAAAAGCCCAGGTGTACAGCCAAAGGTAAGTACCTGGGAAAGGTTCAGACCTGAAATGTGTATCACCTCTTCTCTCTTCTGTGCCTCCCTCCCCTGTCCTCCAATGCAAATGATGAGAGGTTCCAAGGCAGAAGAAAATTTCATTTCATAGAGAAATGGGTCCACTTGAAATGCCTTGAAATGGATGTACAAATATGAGTATCTCCTAGGGGATCATTGCTGGGAGTCATTCCAGAAATCACAGTGATGAAAATGGCATGGTGTGTTTGCAAAGCAGTTTGGGCAACAAACCAGTTTCTGTGAAGCTGAAGACTGAGGGGTATGGGGAAAGAATATTGGAGGAAAGACAAGGTACAGGGATTCATGGAAAGAACCATATCTCTGTGGCAAAAGGCAGAAATGATGAGCATCATCTGGCAGAAGAAACCAGGGGTGTGAAGGATCCAGGATATAGGGTGTTCCAAGGTGCAATCAGGCAGCAAGAGGGAAACAAAAATAAGCTAGTCATGACACAAAAGAGCCACGTGCCACAGATCAGAGAAGGGAGGGGGACCCTGACACGGGCCAGGTACCCCACAGGAGAACATACTTACAATAAACAAAGCTGGTTCAGAGACCCCAGCAATGCCTTAATGGAGCAAATGCACACTTGGAATGAAATTACCTGGGGAATGAATTACTCTGGAAATTCCTGGGTTGGTGAATTCCTTTGTGTTGGATTAGACTCTGATTTCCCTTTTTTGTTTTTTGTTTTGTTTTGTTTTGTTTTTGTTTGTTTTTTCTTGTTTTCTCCTAAGAAACAGGGTGCATTTTAGAGGGGGAAATAAAGATTTAGGGTTTCCACTTTATAATGCCACCAGCAATAAATTCCCAGGAATATATACTGTTGTTGATAAATTAGAATTAGTTATTATTATGTAATCTCTGGCTAGATACTGTTGTGGTTGTTGTTGTCTTAGATCTATTGTTTTTAATTTTTTTTTGCTGGGGGGGGGCATGCTGGGGATTGTACTCAGAGCCTCACACATGCTAGGCAAGTGCTTTTACCACTGAGCCACATCCCCAGCCCTATTTTTATTTTTATTTTTTTAAGTAGTTTGTAGATTCTAGAACAGAAGCAGTACCACTTCTCATCCATGTATTGAATGCCTTTCCTCTGTATTTTGTGACACACAGATGGCTGGTTTACACCCTTCTGATAAGGCGGGGCCCAAGTTTTCGATTGCATCCCCAACTTTTCCTAAGTCCAGTTCCACGGTTTCCGAGATAACACAGCCTCCTTCCTATGAAGATGCAGTCAAGCAGGTAATCACATGGTTTGTCTCTTATGGAAGGTCAGAGGGACTCAATGGCCCTTTGTCGTGTATTGTTAAAGTTGACGCGGTCTGTAAATTCTGACGTGGAATGTGCTGAGGGCCTCCCCAACAGGATGAACAAAGTACACACTAAGAGTAGATGGTATTATATGCGTGTACAGATGGTTCCAATTCAGGATGGTTCAACTTAAGATGTTTCGACTTGATGATGGTATATGAAGCAATACACTGTCCACTGCACTCAAAACTGTACTTTGAGTTTGGATCCTGTCCCGGGCTGATGATGTGATACAATCTTCTCTCGAGGCTGGGCAGCAGCAGCGAGCCTCAGTTCCTAGTAAGCCCCATAGTTATGATGGAAAGCAACTCATCCTCCAGCGTGCTGTGTTGCTAAGCCAATAGGCCTGGCAGGTTAAGTGTATTAAATGCATTTTTGACTCATGGTATTGTCGGTTGACAGTGGGCTTATCTGGATGTCATCCCATTATAAGTCAAGGAGCAGCCTTAGAAGCTGAGAGAGGCAGAAAGAAGAGGCTGGGCTGGCATCCAGGATTCCTGGCCTCAGAGCCAACTCTGCCACCTGCCACTACCACGAAGGATGGGCACATACTCAACTTCTATAAAGAGGGCCCATATTTATTTTGTAAGGATTCTACATAATCTGACACTTACCATATTGTTTGGGCACATGATAGGTTCTCAAGACGTGAGAACAGTTGTCAAGGCAATACTTTCTAAGATTCTTCCGAGCTTTAAAATGCAACAGTCCGGGCAAAATATTGATGGTTGTTAAAGCTGAATGATGAATGTAGGGAGGTCCCTTGTGTTCTCTACTTTCATCGGTGTTAGGAACGTTTCAAAAGTAAGAAAAAGAAGAACAGGCCTGGTGTGGTGATGTATTCCTATGATCCCAGTGGCTGGGGAGGCTGAGGCAGGAGGATCACAAGTTCAAAGCCAGTGGCAGCAATTTTGCAAGGCTCTCAGCAACTTAGGGAGACCCTGTCTCAAAATAAAATATAAAAAATGACGGGGGGATGTGAATCAGTGGTTCAGTGCCCCTGGTTTCAATCCCTGGTACGAAACAAAACAAATAAGCAAAAAGTTTTAAAAAAAGAAAAGAAAAACATATAGTCAGCCTTCTATGTCATGGATTCAGTCAGCTGTGGATTAAACATGCTTTGGGAAAAAATAATTTCTGAAAGTTCAAAAAAAAAAAAACAATCTCGAATTGGCCACATTCCAAGCACTATATAGACTCCAAGTAAATCAAGTGATATATACCTTGCGCTAGCCACTTCATAGAACCTGCATCTCTTTCCAACACTTGTTTGAGCATCATCCACCTCACGTCCCATTCACATGTAACCTTAGGCCTGTGATGCCTGCATCTGTAAAGACATGTACAGACTTGTGCACGACTCCCTAAACAACTATTTACATGGTATTTACATGTATCAGGTAATATAAGTAATTTAAAGATGATTTCAAGTTTACAGGAGGATGTATGTAGGTTCTATACAAATACTACATGATTTTATACAAGGGACTTGAGTGTCTGGGGATTGGGGTATCCAGTAAAGGTCCTGAGCCAATCCCCTAAGGAAATTGAGGGTCTGAGCGTGGAGGTGCTTAGTCCAGAAAAGAACCTGGCCTTGGTTGCTGCCCACTGACTGGTATCCCAGAGCAAGGCCAGTTGTCCGTAAGTTTCCTTTGGGAGAGATGTGCTATAGATCAGGAAGGCTTTCTCACAGTTCTGAAAAACTAGGGGATCTGCCAACATGGGATCCACTTTGCTGCCAAACAACAATGACCTAAAGCAAAGGACCCCGTGTTTCTCTGAGCCACAGCTGTGCTCTGTATTCTTCCTCTCTTTCTTCTATTTTTGGCTCGTTTACATTACCTGCCAGAACTTGTAGCATGTGGTGCCATCCAGACTAGCAAATGACTCAGTCTTGGAGCAGTGTTCCCATCTGTATTGATTATTGATGCCCATGTATATTGGCTTTGAACTCCCAGGGGAGAGAGGGATGCTTTGCTGCCCTTGCTATATCTCCACTTCATTCCCCTGAATTTTGAAACATGAGCTGATTGATCCTTCACGATTTCGATAGAAAAGCAAAAGGTCAGGCAGGGTGGACTTTTAAGATTGCACTTAACAACTCAGATGAGCAGAGGGGAGAAGGTGAACTCTACAAGGCTCTACCAGTTCCTCAAGCTTTTGCAAAGAGGAACTGAGGAAATGTGGGCCAGGTTCCACGCGGGTCAAATAAGGGAGAGATTCTCACTTCAGAGTGAGAAAAGGTATTTTTTTTCTGTATTTAAGATGACCCTGCTCCTAGGATGGAAATGGCTAAAACAACCAAACTTATTCTAAAGTGCATATTCTGTGTTGGAAGTCATTCTGCCTGTTTTCTCCTTGTCTTATTGTAGTGGCTTATTTCATCCTGTAGATCGCCTGCCTAAAATTTACAATGAGAGTTAATCGAACAGTTCAAAAACCTTTCACCACTCTACCCAAGATCATAACAGTGTTATACACATTAGCCAGAAGGTGGAAACAATCACAAGTGTTCATCTAAACAGGTGAATGAATAAACAAAATGTATTAGATTCAAATAATGGACTATTATTCAGTCTTCAAAAATTAAAAGAGCCAGGTGCCATGGCACACACCTGTAATCTCAGTGACTCAGGAGACAAAGGCAGGAGGATCACAAGTTCAAAGCCAGCATCAGCAGCTTAGCAAGGCCCTGAACAACTTAGTGAGACCCTGTCTTAAAATAAAAAATAAAAAGGCCAGGGATGTGGCTCATTGGTTTAATATCCCTGGATTTAATGCCCTATACCAAGAATAAAAATTTTTAAATGAAAGGAAATTCTAACACATGCCCCAACATAGATGAGGCTTGGCTCAGTAGTTAAATATCCCTAAGTTCAATGCCATATACCAGGAATAAAAATTTTTAAATGAAAGGAAATTCTAACACATGCCCCAACATAGATGAGGCTTGAGGACTGTATGCTTAGTGAAATAAGCCAGTCACAAAAGAAGAAATACAATACGATTTTACTTCTATAAGGAACCTAGAATAGTCAAATTCATGGAGTAAGAAGGTAGAATGGTTGGTTGCTAGGGACTAGGGGAGGGGCAGGCTGGGAAGTTATTCCTTAATAAGTACAGAGTTTTAGTTTTGTAAGATAAAAGTGTTCTGGAGATGGATGATGGTGATGGTTGCCCCCCCAAAATGTGAATGTACTTAATGTCATTGAATGGTACACTTAAAATGTTCTAGATTATAAATTAAATGTTATTTGTATTTTATTACTATTTAAAAAAATACTTAGCCAAATCTAGTTTGAAAACCTATAGTGCCACCCCTTTCTGCATAAGTAAACGCCTTCTAATTGCCCCGTTCTCCTTTGGTTAATTTGCAACAGCAAATGACTCGAAGTCAGCAGATGGATGAACTCCTGGATGTCCTCATTGAGAGTGGAGGTAAGACTGCCTTGTGTCCCATCAAGGTCCTCTGCACCTATGTTAAACTCTAGAGAAAGAATGCCCAGGACCAAGGTCAAGTGCACACTGAATCAGGTGCACCAGGTGGGCTGCAGGTAGAGAGTCACTTCCTCTGAGCTTTGGGTGCCCTTTTGGAGCAGATAAAAGAAGTTTAGCGGATGATTCCTCTCTGCCTTCATCCGAGGAACACTTTGCAGTCATCGTTTTAAGTTTTCACTTTTCAACCCCATCTTTGTTTTCCCTAAATGTTTTCTCTTGCTGTATAATTTCTTTCTACAGTCCTGATCTCAATGTCCCTGTCTTCTTAATGATAAGAGAAAAAGAACCAAGCAGATAATGAAAGTTTTGTGCTACCTACTCAAAGTGAAATTCAATTAGTAATCTTCCCCTGGATGGTCCATTCATGCTTAAATGTTATTCAGGTTAACAATAAAAAATAATCATCCTGTTCTTTTTGCCTCCTTTCAACTCGTTCATTTATTGATTTAAAAACATTATGAAGTATGCACCTAGCATTTAAAAGCACAAAAAAATGAATAGGAGGACCAAAAGAGATTATGTGTAGGTGTAAAGAGAAGTTCAGAGCTGAACCCTGAAGCAATTGCATGAAAGTTTGAGAGTACGCAGAGAAGGAGTAGCTAGGCACCATGCTAAGGGTCAGTTGTACACTAGACAAAGTCTCTTCCTCTATGGGGTGGATAGCAAGTGAACAGATATTTCCTATTGGAACAAGAAAGAAGATGAGAGAGATGTGCATGTGCTGGTGTGTATATGCATGTAAGTCTTATGATGGAAAGATGAGAGAGAGTTCATATCAGAAGCCCCCCTCCCTTTTTGTGATCAGTACATTTTTTTTTTTTTTTGTAGTGCTGGGGATGGAACCTAGGATGTCACCATGCTAGGCAAACACTTTACCATCGAGCCATATCTCCAGCCCTCAGATGCCCCTTTTTTAAATGAAGTAGGTGGAAAGGTCACCCATGAATGTGGGTGGAGAAGGAGTCGTATGGGACAGGCAAGGAATGAACAGTCTCCAGTTAATCATGAATGAGTTGGGTTTACTAGAGAAACATGGGCAGAGTGTTAGGCCGTGTAAATGCTAATGGTGGGCTTAAGACTGTGAATTCAAAATAAAACTAATCGGCTTAGTTGTGTAATTTTTTTTTCTATTCAAACATCCAGGCAATTCAGGGAAAGCCAATGGTAAGGCTAATCCAGTCTTAACATTGATATGCTAGGTTAGTATGGTAAAATGTCAGAAGAGAGGAGGTTGAGGGTATTGGACCAAGGTAACTATCATGATGGATCAGATAACATGGAGGGTATGATGCATGGAGGGTATGATGCATGGAGGGTTGATGGACAGTGATTAAATGGTGGTCAGCAGATTGGAGTCACTCAACACAATTTTTGTCCTGGGGTACTTAATAAGTGAGCAGAAGAGTTGAGGCAGGAGGGACAGAGAATGGGAAATTTTGCTTGAAATAGAACTTTCAGAGGGATGCATTGTTTGGAGGCGGGAGCAAGATCCAAGGTGTGTGTAACGGTTGGGGGACACAGGCATCACTGAGGGGACAGACAAGGAACTGAGAGACTAGGATGGACAGATGCTGCAGTGACAGAGAACGAGAGACGCAGAAGTGGCACAAAGGCTGGGGATCAGGGTTTAGAGGCATCAAAGCAGATGAAGAGGGGTGGTCAAGAGGCTGGGCCTGTGGAGAGGGGTGGACCCCTCAAAACTACTGAAGAATGAGGGGAATAATGATCAGAGAAGTAGCCATCACCTATCACATCGTATGCCATGCTGAATAACAATTTGCATTGTGTTTTGCCAACAGAAATGCCAGCTGATGCCAGAGAGGATCACTCATGTCTTCAAAAAGTCCCAAAGATACCGGGGCCTTCCCGAAGTCCTGCTGTGGTCCTCCCCAAGCCCTCGGCCTCCTGTGAACCAGCCTCTTCAGGAGGACAGCTCTCCTTTGATCACTATGCTGCCGACAGCGAGGAGCACCTGGAAGTCTTATTAAATCCCCACAGCCCCTTAGGAAAGATGAGCGACGTCGCCCTTCTCAAAATCGGGAACGAGGAACCTGCTTTCGATGGGATCATGGATGGCTTCTCCGGAAAGGCTGCAGAAGACCTCTTCAATGCACATGAGATCTTGCCCGGCCCCCTCTCCCCGATGCAAACACAGTTTTCACCCTCTTCTGTGGACAGCAGTGGGCTGCAGTTAAGCTTCACAGAATCTCCGTGGGAAACCATGGAGTGGCTGGACCTCACTCCACCCAGCTCCACACCTGGCTTTAGCTCCCTTGCCACCAGCGGCCCCAGCATCTTCAACATTGATTTCCTGGATGTCACAGATCTCAATTTGAATTCTCCCATGGACCTTCACTTACAGCAGTGGTAGAATGCCAACGCTCAGAAAGACCAGTAGGAATTCCATGGGGGATATCTATCACAAAACCCTTAAGTACTTCCCTTATCTAGAAGAAGAAGAAGAAAAAGAAGAAAATCCAAAAGAAGCAATGGAAGCTTCTGTGACAATAAGAATAAGCAGGAGTCATTTTTTAAAAATATATATGTTATATTTACTAACATTCAGTAACTGTTTAATAATTTCAGCAATGCATTCAGAAATGTGCATTTTCAGAGTACAGATGCAAAAAAAATTTTTTTTCACTGCCTTTTTGAATACCAATATTTTTTCTAGCCCATAGTTTTTCTCAGGCATTATTGGAGCAGAAGCTCATACTGTGAGCTTTTGTCATGAATTTATTAGAATTACTATTAAAAAAAAAGTATTTGGAGAGCATGAGGAAGCCAGCCCTTAAAAGATTATGGAAGATATATGGATGGTGGAGGCTGCTTCTAACGTCTCCATTGTCTGTCTTTCAAAAGAGCAACAAGGTCCAACTTCAGTTAGGGAGTCCTTGAGGCAATAGAAGGACAGAACCAATTCATTCCCAGGAAAGCAAAATCAACATAATGTCCTTCCACCCTAAAACTGTCCCCACTGGAGTGGTTCCAATCCTGGACTGTGTGGTCACTGATAACAACTAACTTGCACTGAGTCCAGAGAATTCCATTTAGACCTGTTTTTTTTTTTTCTTTTTCTTTTTCTGCCAGTAACCCAGTCATTCCATCTGGGTGCTGATAAGCATTGTGTAATAGGTGAGAACTTTAAAGCAAGAAGACCATGGAAGAAGATTTCTCAGATTCTCCTACATAAACCCCTTTAGTTCCAAAAGCTAGAGATAGGCAGGCAGAAAGGTATCTCTAGACCCAGGAAGCCATTATCAGGGATAATTTAGACAGAAAACAGCATTCTTCACACCTCCTAGGAATGCATACCATGGATTGCTATTACAGGACTGTTCTCATAGAGGTCCAACTTGTTGTTATTGTTGTTATGTTGCTCTTGTTCTGGTTCTTATGATGGGAAAGGGGGTCCACCTCAGTTTATCTTTCTCCCACTCCATTTATCTTTCAAGATATCAGCCCTTTCTTACTCCTCTTTTTGAAGATCTCTTTTTTTTTTTTTTTTGGCCCAGTATTGGGAGGAGAGGATGTCTCTGCTCTCACAAGCTCCACACTCCTAATAAAGCCATGTTTTAAAAGGTTAAAAGTCCAGGTTCTCCTGTAGAACCCATGCTCTTGCACAGTTTGCTGCCAAAGGAAGTGCCAAGAATTTCCTTAGGAAGAAACTGGTGACTTGGCCCATCGGTCACAAAGCTCACTCTTACTCTCATGTGATTTGCAAGCAATCTTAGATTTGTGATGCTCTGGGAAAATTGGAAATCATTATATTGTAAAGATAAGTATGGATGATATTTACAGGAGAGAGTGTTTCAGGTCTGGGTTTCTGAAAGAAAGCACAATTGCATATTGAAAGCAATGGAAGGAACAAAAGACCATGGTCGATAATGAGCATTCCTCATTACCTCTTGTGCTTTGGAAGGCAGCTGGGAAAAAAAAAGAAAGAAAGAAAAATAAAAAACTTGATTTGCAGGACAGTCTCTCTAAGGCTCACAGTGGCTCCAGTCACCATTTTATAATGTTGCATGCTGTAGAAAGTAGCTATTGCTGTTTTATTTTTTTTTTAATTTAAGTCACTAAGTCACTGTTTTCTTCTTTTGTAAAAAAAAAATGTTGTTCACTGTGCACTTATAGAGAACATAATCAATGTTGTGATGTTAAAAAGTTCTCATTTTGGTTTCTTCTAAACCAAAGATTTAGAAGTCATTCCATTGTTAACTTGTAAAAACTGTGTGAACACAGAGTGTTTTGGGTGACTGCTACTCTGAAAGCTGCCAGATCTTATCTGGGGTGGAGGATACACACACACACACACACACACACACAACACACACATCTTGCTCTATACATTTGTAGGCTGAGACTGTTATATGTGTGTGCACATGCACACACATATATATGCATACACGTGTGTGTGTGTGTGTGTGCATGTATCTTGAAAGCAGTGTTACAGAGTTCCATACCAGAAGCCTTTAACCCTCAATCTGCTGTGAATGATACCTGGCCTTTCTCACTACGTGTTCCTGTTAATTAACCAGACTACACGTTGCCACTCTGTGTATGACTAAGGGCTCCAGCCCAGTGACTCACAGCCACTTGCTGACCATGAACAAGCTCCTCTTGCCAACGAATATGGATGTGAAAAGACAGAACGGCTTTGCTATTAGCAGCTGCGGATGGTAACAGTCTTTTGTAGAAGAGTCCATAAAAAGAACATGAAAATCATCTTACATTCCTTGATCTGCATTGTGCTTCAGAAGATCTGCATGGTAAATTTTATTAGTTTGCTTGTATGTCAGTTATCAGAACAACAAAAAAAATCTAGAGGGAAAAAATCCTGATGAAGCTATGAGAAAGAGACCTTATTGACACATTCCACACATTGGTTTATTCCTCAGATGATGATGTTTTATTTGAGTCTTGATGAAGCTTGCTGCTCGGTCCACTTTTGTATGTTATTTCCCCCCTTTCTTTCCTTTTTGGAAAACAAACTCACATGGTATCCCGACTTGAAGACCTGGTCTGAGTGTTAATGGTTCTTTTTCTTTGGGAATTTCTAGCTGAGGGATGAGATCTGATTAGGAGACCTCTGTACTTGGCTAGACTGTGCCTTTACGTTGGGTTGTGTTTTTGCATATTCCTCAAGACTGAAATACAAGATTCACGGTAGACAATAGATAAAATGGCTCCTATTTGCTACCACAAACTAACACAGTTAAAAGAGCAGATCCCTAGATAAGTGGTCTCAACCGCCTCCCACAGTCTGCACATGCCATATTCACCCTGTGTCAGGGAATTGGAGGGAGAAAACTGGAGATGCTTGAGTGGGAAATGATGAAGATGGCTGCATCCAATCAGATAATTTATGTTAATCCATCTGTCTCTTGTTGGGGATTTTTATTTTAAATTCTTGGGTGTGTCCTCTTTTGTGGTGGCAAATTGGGCATGACTAAAAAAAGGTATACAGAGAAGTGACCACATTCTTGTGTCTTAATGCTTTTAAAGGTGAAGATGACCATGTGAATTTAAGAGTCCTGGACCTACCATGGTGATGCAGAGATGCAGACCTTTGTAGCCATTCCCAATCTGGTCACGATCCACTTGATTCGTACTTACCTAATGGAATCAGAAAATGTATTTACACAAGCTCTCTCAGTAAGCCTATTCTCATTTAGGAATGACACTGCCTCTTAAAATGATACGGAGAGGGAAAGAGACGGAGGGGGAGAGGAAGAGGAGAAAGAAGAGAATGAACAGGGGAGGGAAAAAGGAAGGAGAAAGGAAGGAGGAAAGAAGGGAAAAATAAAGGGAGAAGTAAAAAAGGAAGGAGGGAAGAAAAAAGAGCCCAACTTACTGATCCATGAACCTCTTAGTTCAGCTAAGATATTGCATTATGAAAACTGCATCGCAAACTCATAAATGAGAAACCATTTTTAACAACCCAGTGATTGCACCTGTACTGGTGGAAAGCAAGACAGCCTTCACCTGAATTGTCAAAGGTCTGTAAAGTGAGAGTCTTACACCATTCAAAAACAGTGATTTCCAATCTGAGAGAAAAAAAAAAAGAATAACACCTAGCCAAGCATTCAAGATAGTTCTTTTAAAAAATTATTTATTATAACTTCAATCTTCTAGAGCAGTCTGGCTGAAAACTCCCACATCAAATTTACTCATCCATTGGATAATTATTTAATGCCTACTGAATGCAAAGCATGAGGTATCCAATACTGGATTGATTCAGCACAGTTTGTTCAAACGTTGAATGAGTAAGGAGTTGCCTTTGCTATAAGCAAGGACACTGGGAATCTCCCAATCCTCAAATTAGAAACCTTTCAGCTAGGATGAAAAGGGTTTTCATTTTGTGAGATAACTTGGTGAGACAACTTGGAGTAGAAAGAGTCTAGGGTCTTAGTTTCCCCATAAATCGAATTATAAACCAGTGGGGCGGCTCAGATGCTGATATTGCTGATGCTTTATTAGATGTTATTAACAGAGTCCAGGTGCTGGGACAAGATAGTCCTATAGCACTGAGTTGGTTGGTTGTAATTCAATGGCCCTGGCTAGGCTGAGACTGTCTGGGGGGCGGGGGTGGAAATTTCAAGCCAGGGAGGGGTTTTTAAAAACTTTTGTTGTTATCAGCCAGGGATACTGTGCTAAGATTCATTGGATCCAACAATATGTGAGTAAGTTCCCTTCCGGTTATAGGATTCAGTGATAATCCCTGTGGATTAAGGCAAACAAACCCCTAGAATTCTCTTGTGTTTATTTTAACCACATGCTCCCTTCATGGATACTGGGAAGATGTGTTTTCTATAGACGACTGAACTGTTCCCAGGTATTTATGGAAAGTGGGTATAGACATGGGGATCCTAGAAGCTATTTAAATGTTTTCCAAAGGAACAAGACCCACACTGCTCCCCAGAGCTCAGTTCCAATGGTCTTGCGGTGAGGAACTACAGCAATCGATTGCTGGGTCTTAAAATTCTCCCTCAATGAAACACAAGGAGGCACTTTGTAAAGAACAAAGGAGCAAGCATGTGTTGTCTGCAAACCCCTGTGCGGTGGTGTATTCAGAAAGAAATGTGGATTACTGGGAAAAGCAAAGAAGCAATGGCTAAAGTACCAAAGTTGGCATGTGTTCTTTTTTTAAAAAAAGAAAAAAAAATAAAAGCATATATTTTTAAATAAAATGTTTATTTTAAAGAGATGTCAACCTTTTTTTTTTCTTGACCCTGGAACTGTGCTATGCTCTTTACAAGCATCATTTCCTTTTATCCTCACAACAGCCTGATGAAGTGGTACCATTATTATTCTCATTTTGCAAATGAAAAAAAAAACTGAGGCTCAGAGAGGCTAAGCAAATTGTGTAAGGTTACATAATTTATTTATTTATTTTTTAATTTTTATTGTTGGTTGTTCAAAACATTACATAGTTCTTGATATATCATATTTCACACTTTGATTCAAGTGGGTTATGAACTCCCATTTTACCCCGTATACAGATTGCAGAATCACATCAGTTACACATCCATTGATTTACATATTGCCATACTAGCGTCTGCTGTATTCTGCTGCCTTTCCTATCCTCTACTATCCCCCAGGTTAAAACATGGCAGAGACAACAGTCAGATTTTTGATTTGCCCTCCTCCAAAGCCCGGATATTAAGCACTGCACACCATGCCTGCACTTATTGCATGATTGCATTTCACAGAAGCAAAGACAATGTGAATCTCCCAATCCTCAAACTAGAAACCTTTTAGCTATGGATAAAAAGGGTCTTCATTTTTCCAGAAGGGAAAGAAAGCCTTTTAGGTTAAAAGCTATCTTCCATGCAAAGTTTCTTATCTTTTTCTCCATGGTCCAAGGGCAGTAGTCTATCACTTGGAGGTCTGTATCTCCTGTAACTTAAAACAACTGTCAGAATTTTAGGATTTGTTTTGATGGCCAGATACAGAAGCCCTTTGTAAATAAGGAAAGAGTGGAGAAAACATTTTTTTTTTGTTGTTCTACCTCTTTCTTCAGTCATCATGACAAGCTTTTCTGGACAGAAGCGGCACTTGTTGTGGGCAGGGAGAAATCAGGTATCCATGGTGAGCCTCCATCCCTTAAAAGAAAAGCTTCAGAGAGTGCAAAAGCAATATGGCCTTCCGGTCATACTACTACTTTTGCAAAACAGATTGTCAAGCTATGTGAATATGCCCACTAAAACTCCCATACACCTTAGCCAACCCACGATCTTTATCGGCTTTTATTTCTGTATACTCTCACACTCTAGTAACATGACTCTGGGTATGATGTGGACGGGAGTAGGAAGGATGAAGGAAGGGCAGTCCAGTACACTTTTTATGAATGAATCTGATGCATCCTAGGTGCCCTCCTTGTTCGAATGACTTGAGAGAACTTACAGGGAAATGATGAGTGACCTCATGTACTGAATTGAAGGACAGGGGAGGGGCAAGAGTGAAAGTAGTGACTTAAGAGCCTGTTGCAGTCAACCAGACAAGTGTAAGCCATCACGGTAGTCTGGGAACATAATGATAGGATAAAAATGATGGGGCATAATCATTGGATGTGGATGGTAAAGGGGAAGGTGGTTTGGGGTCTGGGGTAAGGAGAGTTGGATATTTGGTATACATTAACGCCACTCATAGAGGCCAAAGACTCAGGATGAAGAATAGTTATTTAATTAAAAAAAAAAAAAACGATGACTCTGACTTTGGAGTGTCCATGGTTCATGGAACACTGAAGTCAAAGAGGTTCACTGGAGAGGTCTGACGTCCAGAGTCTTTCCATGGAGATGTATTCGTGGAAGTGGTCAGTGTGCAGATGTTCAGTGAAATCCTGGGAAGAGCTAACTATACAAGGTGTGGAGTAAGAGCAATCTCAACACTTAAGGTATTGGCAAAAGAGGAAGAAAGGGAGTGGCTAGAAATCCAAGAGGAAAACCAGGAGAGGGTGGCATTCCTACCACCAGCAAGGAGAAATTTTCAATTGGGAGCTTTTATTTCTGCGTACTCTGTTCCTCTAACATAAGGGCTGTGACAAGGAGTGAGGAGGGTTCTTTTGATTTAATTTTAAGGAAGTGGTTGGTAAACAAGGAGAGAGGCAACTTGGATGCAGTGGTAAGGCCAGGTAAGCACAGATAAGCATGAAAAGGAGGTGAGGAAGTGGAGACCATGTCATTCAAGGAGTGTGGCAATGTGGCAGGAAGACACAAAAGGCCATAACACGGTGTCAAGCACTTAATAGACTGATTTTCAAGAGGAAAGAAATATGAACTGATTTAAAAGCTAATGAGAATTAGTGCAAAAAAGGGAGGGGGCTGGGGGAGAGAAGGTAGTAGAAAATGAGGTCCAGGTTAGTTTACCTTTGGGAAGGAAATAGTTATGGTCGGAGAGAAAGAGGAGAATGGGTGGAAATACAGGTGTGTGTACAGGTAGTGTAGGTGTGGAGGAAGGACAATAAGGGAATTCTCAGATGGTGGTTTCCATCTCAGACTTAAAACAAGATGAAGAGATGATGCTCATGGATGTGTGTACATTTTAATTTTAAAAGGCTGAATTAAGAGCTATGGAGACTGAGAGAGAGAGCTGACTGGGTGACTGGGTAGAATCGGGAAACTGACTGGAGATCAAGTCCTCTACACAATAGTGGGAGGTCCCATCACAACCTAAAAGCCCAGGAGTGGATGCAGAGATGGTGGAGAGGTGAGTGGAGGATGTAGGATGCTGCAGGAATGGATGGATAAGAAAGCAAGAAACCAGAACTGGGTAATTCAGGATATGACTAAAGAGGAAGTCCAAGGGTGAAGAGGAAGAGAGATCCATTGTTCCTGTTTCTTGTATATTCTTTGAGACAGGAGAATCTTACAACAATCAATGAAAATGAATTGTGTGGAGAAGGGCCTCAGGGTCTCCTGGCCTCCAGGTTAGAGAACTGGTGTCACAACTGTGAAGAGGGAAGTCCAGAGCTTTTCTACCGATTACTGCTCACAGCTAAGGGGTTCCTTAGAAGGTGTGATCTCCCTCCACTGGTGTCCTACTCAGGCCAGTGACCTCCATGCCAAAGTAAGCATGCATTTCCCCAAGGTGGAGAACTCTTGGTCTTGGAGGGGCATGTCCCCCCAGAACACAGTGTTAAAGCCTGTGCTCTTGATATTTTCCCAAGTTTAGGGCAGCGTTGGAGCCCTCTGTGCCTCTGTGGCATATCAAATTGAGAAGGGTTCACACAGCTTCTTTCCCAGGGTCTGGCAAGGACAAGGTCCATTGGGGTCAACCATGTAAGTTGTCATCTAGAGCACAATACTTTTTGTCCAGAAAAAATGCTAAATCCAACAGGAGGCCAAGACAGCAGGCCTATCCAGGACTGTTTTTCAGCAAACCAGGGCCAACGGTCACCTAAATATGAGCTAACAGAAGGACCTAGAAGCTCTGTCTACTTTCATTTCTCCCAAAATATTCAGCTGACATGGTTCTGGGGTCAAAGCCACTAGTACACACACACACACACACTCTTTCTCTCTCTCTCCCTCTCTCTCTCTCTCTCTCTCCAACTACAAGGTAATTGAAGAAGCAACCTCATCCCCTTGCCTGACACCAGGCCTTTTGTAGATCCAACCTACTACCCCCTGAAAGGTCTCTTAACTTTAGATCTTTATTTATTTATTTATTTATTTATTTATTTATTTTATTTGTTCATTTAGATATATATGACAGTAGAGTGTACGTTGAGATATTTTCCATACATAGAGGTGTAACTTCCCATCCAGTGGTTGTACATGATATGGAGTTGCACTGGTTGTGTATTCAGATATGAACATAGGAGAGTTAGGTCCCATTCATTCTACTGTCTTACCTAGTCCCATCCCTCCTCTCTTTGCTTCATTCCCCTTTGTCCAATGAATTTCTGTTCTTTCCTCCCTGATCCTTATTATGTTGGCACAACATCCACATATCAGATAGAACATTTGGCCTTTGGTTTTGGGGGGATTGGCTTATTCCATTTAAGTCAAGGGCTTGACCTCTTGGTCTCTTCCCTTTTCAAAGTCTCTAGAATTCATATATAAATTGATCTACCCTTCTGCAACATTTCCTATAGCTAGAGCTATTTAGAGAAATGATCTATATTGATCTGGGGGATGGAGACATCTGTCCTTGGAGTAGCAGGGACCTGTTTGTCTTAACTCTACATAATCAAATGAGTCAGTAAAGTGAGAAATCCTCACACTAATAAAAATCTCTCAAACAGAACACTGTAGCACAGAAGGCTTGTCATGAGGCACCCCCCTATAGTAGCTAACATTTATTTATCATGTAACTTGCCTGGTTCCAAATAAGCAAATTCCACATACAATTTCTTACTTAACTTTCTAAATTTGGCGAGAAATTCTAGCGCTGTTATGTGGATAGGAGGTGTGCCACAAAAACTTCTGGGTTAGTACAGGAACATTCAGAGAAGAAATGATTAGATTGTGAGAGCTGTCACCTAATCAATCTATCTTAGTTTGAGTGGACATCCTGGAATGGTTCATCCTGGAGCCCCTTCCCCTCTTCTCTCTCTGCTTCCTATCTGCCATGAGCACAACAGTATTTCTCTGCCAGGCCCTTCCATCACAATGTCCCACCTCGCCTCATGCCCAGAACAGTGGAGTAGACCAACCGTGGACTGAACCTCTGAAACGATGATCCAAAAGCGCATTCTCTTCCTCTAAGTTGTTCTTGTCTTATTTTGGTCACAGCAATGAAAACCCACACAACCATAATCTACATTTATCGTAAATGGGGAAAGTTAAATGATTTGCCCAACGGCATATAGTAAATGGTAGAGCCAAGATTTGAATCCCAGTGAGTCACTAGGCTGTACTGCCTTTCCCATACTCCACTTTGCATGGAAGGTAATAAGCAAGAATATTTCTGGGACAGATTATGATTTTAGAATAATATGTCTAAATTTCAGCCTCGCAGAAGAGGAGCTTTACATGAAGACCAATGGATGCCTTGGGCTGATTAGTTCAAATGAGTCAGATGTGAAAGTCACTGGGGTGGACAAGGTAAAACCAGCATGTTAGGTGGCCCTGCCTTGTGGGGTCATCAACATAATCCAAGATGGCAGCAGGATGCAGAATGCATAAGTAGGTCAAGTCAAGTCCAAAACTTGTCGATGGGTGAGGAGAAGTAACTGGGGACAGAGGGAGGCTGTAGAGCCCC